GCCAAAATAAGCTGATCCAATGTTTCTTGAGAGTAGAAAATCATTCTTTTGTATAGAGTTTCAGAGTAGTTACTTATGTGTATTAACTGAGTCTAATGTACATTATTGGGTTGGAGCGATAGCACAGCGGTAGGGCATTTGCTTTATAAGCGGCCAACATGGCCGACCCAAGTTCGATTCCTCCGCCCCTCTCAGAGAGCCCGGAAAGCTACCGAGAGTATCTCGTCCGCACGGCAGAGCCTGGCAAGCTACCCGTGATGTATTCGATATGCCAAACACAGTAACAACAAGTCTCATGATGGAGACGTTACTGGGCTTGCTCGAGCAAATCGATGAACAATGGGAGGACCGTGACCGTGAATGTACATTATTATATTATTATTATTATCATCATCATAAGTTGTATACATATAACATTATTAACAAACTCTTTGATTGACCCAAACACTGTTTATAAACTGTGGTCTGTCTACAGGAAGAATATGAGTAATAATAGGTGGTAAGTAAGTGAAAATATGAAGTGATAATGGTTTCCTGAAGATTCAAGGAGGGATGATGTTACTCATCATTTTGGGGGTGGAGAGAGTACTAAGCAGTGTTCAGGAGGTCCAGGAACTCTCCTGACCAATCAAATGGCAGTTCAATACGAAGATCTAGGGTTGTGCTGCTACTCTGATCCTGTGGTGCTTGGAATTACCTGGGCCACCATAGCCAGAACTTGGGGCCTCAAGGGCTACAACTAGGGATGCTTGGGATAGAACTAGGGTCAGGTGCATGTAAAGAAGTTTCCTTACTGGAACCCTTACTATTTTGAATATCCACCCTTAACTGGGTGGATTTTGAATATCCACCCTTAACTGGGTCTTGGGCAAGAGCAAAGGAACCCCAGCTTTCTGGATTACTGAAAACCCTGTCTAAGTTCAATAACAACAAACTTTGGCTTTTATGGTAAACTGTCTGGAAAGACCTTCATAGACAACTTCTTCTTGACAGAATTTGAACTACTTGCTTTCCACAGGCAACCAATTCAATTGCAGGTCAAGTGAATAAATTACATGGATTAAATTATTACTATATTTTTTCTTTTAATTATATCCCTTACTGTCAAAGCACACAGAATAAAAGTTCCAACTCTCTGAACAAGGTATTTAAACACAATTGCAAATCATTAGTTTTTTTTCCCCTACCTAGCTCCCGGAGTTTACTCACAATTTTATTTTAACACACCATTCACCATTCTCATCCCCTCTTTTACACATCCACTAGCTCGTTAGTGTCCCTCATTGAATATAAAATGCAGAAATAAAGTCAATCCTTAAACTTCATGCAAAGCATAGCTGAATAGATAAAGATATTACTTCTTGTTAGTGAACATTATGTTTTCAATGATAATGATTATTCCTGTTATTATTATTTTTCTAATAAGATAATTTGGTTTATCCTCCAAATGTCTCTTTTTCTGAAAATTACAATCATTTTTGCTTTATTGTGAGTGATTATAGTGTTAACTTGATTTTCTTTAAAGCGAGAGAGCTACCTAGATGCCATGTCCTTCACTTTTGCCAGTTCATTAATCATACAAAACCCTGAGGGAGGGATTATCAATCACCATGTGAAATGAGGACAGAGATACAGAGAAGTTTCTATAGGGGCTTCAAATCCAGGCCATCTGATTCCATATTTATGGTCTTCTACTCTATTCACGCTTTCATCTTAACTTATCTGGGAAGGTTAACTATACCACGGGAATGGCCAGTAGCAAACGTGGATCAGTGTTCACCCCATTGTAGGCATCCAAGCTAAAGGTACCCATTTCTAGCAAAAAAATGACCTCTTGTTGTGGTTGTGTGATATTACTAAGTTGAAATACAATCACTACATCACTGGCATATAAACTAGGATGGAAAGGAATCAGAGGACAGTTCAGGATCTTCAACTGAGATTTTCTATTGTTGTTAGAGTGGACACACTTGACATCCGCTTTACTGGATGTCCACATCCCAATCCCCACAATAGGTAGGTATGTGACATTACATGAAAAAGGGAAATTAAAATTGAAAAATAGAAGTAATGTTTTTAATCACATAACCTTGAGGTGCGGGAGTAATTGATTTATCCTGGTGGGTCCAATGTAATAACAATAAAGGTATTTTTGGAAGAGGGAGTGTCAGGACCAAAGACACAGAACTGTGAGAAAGACTTTACCATAAAAGGTCAAGAAAGGCTTGACCCTTGGCTATAGAAAGGGGCCATAAGTCAAGAAGTGGTCAGTCTTTAGAATCTGGAATAGGCAAGTCAATGGATTCTCCCTGTCTGGACCTACAGCAAGGACTGCAGCTCTTCTGACATCCTAATTCTAGCCCAGCGAAAGCCAGTTAGACTTCCTGATCTCCAGAACAATAAAGTAATAAGTTTGTATTGCTTGAAGCTCCTCAGTTGGTGGTCCTTTGTGTCAGTAGCAACAGGCCACTATATATTGGAGGCATTTGTGCTAATGACTCAGAACTACTTCTTTTTTCTAGAAAATTGCCTTTGGCCGAACCTGTGCCTTCATGCTTGTAAAGTGTGAAAAAATATCGAATTTGGGAGGAGGAGGGAAGCCCACTGAAACCAAGATACAAAAGGGTCCCACCCTTACCTGAAAGTAGCACTGCCAAGTGCAATTTATTCTCCCTTTAGGAGTGAGCTGGTTTGAGACTCCAGCAGAGACCCCTTCCCAGTCAGCTCCTTTGCTGCCCAATCCTGCTCCCCTTCCTCTCCCTTCTCCTGCAAGCCGGCCTTCCTGGACACTGCAATCCTTGTCTCAGGCTTTGTTTCTAGCATCTCTGACTGAAGACAATTGCCCACTCAGGAGTGATGTTGTATTACAGGAAACTAGTGCTGAAGGGACAGTAGGAGAGCTGGGAAGGCTTGGTCAGGGAGAGGAGCAGGAAGACAAGATGAAAGAATGCAATCTCTCTGTGTTAAGGATGGGAGAAGCATGCTGAAAGTAGACTATAGAACAAACATGATTGCCATTCCATGCCTCTTTTTCAAACCACAACACACAAAAGGAGAGAGAGAACAGAGGGAAATGCCCTGCCACAGAGGCAGGGTGGGATGGGGGGATGGGGGGTGGGATCCATGGTGGTGGGAAATGGGCACTGGTGGAGGGATGTGTATTTGATCATTGTATAATTGAAACCCAAGCACAAAAATTTGTAAGTCTACAACTGTACCTCATGATGTCTCACTAATAATTTTTTTTTAAAAAAATAGTTTCCCCAACTAAAAATCCTGGCTCTTGGTATTTAGTTGGGGAAACTGAGGCTCTTGAGTTTCAAATGATTCTTCCATGAAGAATTAATTGCCGAGGCGAATGTTGAAATATCCAGGATGTGAGCAAAAGGCACAGAGGAGGCCTGGCATGGGGTGTGGAAGGTCTCTGTCATATCTGCTTCCCCAGGCACCGCAAGAATTTGATTGTCTCAGAGAGACAGTTTGTAGTTGGTCCCACCCTATGTTTTTTCAATTTTTAGCCTCATTTTCCTCTACTGAGTCCAATCTTCTGCCCTTACTTCTAGCAGAAGGCACTTCCACATTTCCATGTTTTTTTTAAATCTATTTTAATGTTTTTTGTTTTGTTTTGTTTTGCTTTTTGGGTCACACCTGGAGATACACAGGGGTTATTTTCCTCTACTGAGTCCAATCTTCTGCCCTTACTTCTAGCAGAAGGCACTTCCACATTTCCATGTTTTTTTAATCTATTTTAATGTTTTTTGTTTTGTTTTGTTTTGTTTTGCTTTTTGGGTCACACCTGGAGATGCACAGGGGTTACTCCTGGCTCTGCACTCAGGAATTACTCCTGGTGGTGCTCAGGGGACCATATGGGATGCTGGGAATTGAACCCAGGTCGGCTGCGTGCAAGGCAAACACCCTACCCACTATGCTATCACTCCAGCCCCAGAAGGCACTTACTTTCTTCCCTACTCCAAGCAAATGTGAGCCGGTCTCCCCACTTTTTGTGATGTGTGGTGTCTGTCTAGTTTATTAATCAAGATACTCTGCTGTTCCTGAAATGTCTGATTCTTATTCACCCTAACTCCCATTCAAAATTCTCTTTGGACTGCCATTTGTTGAGTCCCTGGGTTTCTGACACGGAAGGAACCAAGCATAAATCTCTGCACAGTGGCTTCAAGTGGCCTCCATGTGCCTGTCAGCAGTGTTATGGGATGGGCCAGTCGGCTTGTCAGGGTCCAGTACTCAGCCACCTCAGGGCACTCAGGCTGCCACCAATTCTCTGAGGTTCCATGAGCACCTCATGCCATGAGCCATTTCAGTTCCAGAGGCCGAATCACCTCTCTTTGCCTGCTTGGTACAACACCTCCCCTAGATCCCCGAGCACCCAAATCATCCCTCCCACACATATGGGTCAGCTCATTCATCCATAACTCACCAAGAGGCAGACCTGCTTCCCAGGCCACCTCGAGTAGATCTCTCTATGCACTTAGGCATCACTCAGATTCACACAGAACTGAAGCATGTTGCCACCCAGGCCTCGTGGCATGACTTCCTCCCACAGAGAACATCTCTGCTAAGTGCCCTTGACTGAACAGAGCTGCTTTGACCTGTTCAGGGGCCGCCTACAGGTAATGATATGATTAGGGGTTACAAAGACTCAGATCTCCATGCTCAGGGCCAGATAAAGGTGAGGGGTTTTGGATTTTCCTGAATTTGGTCAAGGGCTCTGTCAACTTCATCACACTCAAAACTCCCCGCTGTGCCCAGCTGTGATCTCCTTCCCCCCAAATATTCAACAACATTCAACAATCTCTCTCTCTCTCTCTCTCTCTCTCTCTCTCTCTCTCTCTCTCCCCCCCCCCAACCCCCAGATGCTCTTTGCAATCCTCCTGCATGCCCATGTGTATGGCTCAAGTCTATGCATGGGGATGTGGACCAACATCCACCCCTCTCATAGCTTTACTCGGGAGTCTGGAGACAGGATCAGGGCAAGACCTTACCCACGATCATGTGGTTGCAGACGTCACAGAAAGTGGGCTTCTTGAAGATGTGCTCCTGAAAGGCATGGGCCTTGTCGCCGGGGTGCAGGCCAGCCCGGGTGGGGGTGGATGTCAGGCTCCCAGGCATTGGATGTGGGCTGGAGCTGGGGCTGTCCTCAGCCAGCATGTCCCCTTGGAGTTTCGCGTCGCTGTGGGTTCGCTGGAAGAAGTTGTCAGCACTTTTGCTCCGTAAACTCTTGGTCTTGAAAGAAAGTGATCGTTTTAGTTTCTGGAGCTGTAATGCAATGACAGAACATTCTCTTACTGGATCGCACACATGCACTCATGCTGTGGGGGTGAGGTCTGTGTCAGAGCACCACAGCCCCCACAGACACCCTCAGCCTACAAGGAGGCTCATCTCTGTCCCCATGTGGGTGAGGTGATGTCAGTGGTCCCTGCGCACCCCACACAGCAGGCTATAGAAAGCGGTCTGCTTCCGACTTTGTTTCTGTGCCTGCTGTTCCTCCCTGTCTCCTTGAAATCCTACCAGTGTGCTGTCATAAAGAGATGGAATTTCACTGCCATTTGCCTTCTGAATTTGCACCACTGGAAGTCATAAGTTTCCAAATTCCTGGGCTAAAAAATGGGGCCTAGAACCAGGAAGGCAGTACAGGGGTCAGAAGCAAATATTTTTGCTGATTCTTTCCTCAGAAATGCATGCTCCCTCGAGTGCAGCCCAGTGTGGACTGGGAGAACTTTGAGCAGTGCTGGGGTCGGTCTGGAGCATCCTGGCTCCCCAGCATAGAATCCAAGTGCTACGATATCCCAGGGAGCGGCCCCTAGGCTACTTAGACTAGCATCACTGACTTCTATTACAGGATTCCTCCCCTCACCCCTCATGGGGTCTGTAATGCTGGAAACTCTGGAGACCTTCTTCTGTTTGCTCACCAGTCACTAGTCTCTAAAGTCAGCCAAGCAAGAGGTTCCATCTAACATAGAATCAGTCTGACTACACTAGCCACAGGCAGACGGAAACTCTCGGGTGGACTTGGTCTGAAACATGCATCAGTGTCCTCTGTGCAAGGACTTAGCAGTGTGGATTTCTCCTTCGGACTTCCTTCCCACTCATATTTGGTCATGGCAAACTGAAACATTGTTCCTTTGCTTGTGGGATCTGTGAAGAAGCACATAGGTAGGTTTGGGACAAACCTGACTTCCCAGAAGGTCTGGGTTGAGTCCAGTCCTACATTTATAATCCAGTCTTCACAGAGAGAGGTATCTTTTGGAAACACAGATGTGAGCATTTGAGTATCATTTAAAACCCTTAAGAAGTCTCGTTTGTTTTTAGAATTAAAGGAAGGCTCCTTGTCATGGGTTCCAGGGCAGACTCTGGATGCCAGTGATAGCGGGCACCAGAGTCCACTTTGTTCTGTCCATCTCAGCCACAGTGGCCTTTTAACAGTCTTTCTTAATTATTATGCTTTCCCCCCTGTCACCAGCCCTTCAAGCCTGTTTTTTTCTTTGCTCAGATAAAAGAAATGAGCCAGTTAGTAACTTTGTGACCCGAAACAGGTCATTTTACCTTTAAGTTAGTTTCATTTTGTAATTGGATATCTACAGGGACTCTGCCTGTTGCCTATAATGACCCAAAACTGCAGCAAAAAGGAACTAATAAAGCACTTTATAAGGTGTGGACAAACATTCCTACAGGAGACCTGGGGTGCAGCTCAGTGACAGAGTGCCTGCTCTGCAGGCATGAAGACACAAGCTTCATCTCTGGCAACCAGCCCATACAGCCAGTGTGACCCCTGTGCCATTGCTGTTGTGGATTCCCAGAACAACAAGTGTGAGATGTCCAGTGTGGAGATGAGCCAGAGTATCCATCCATAACTAAAATACGCGACTCCATTCTCTACCTGGTCATTGGACTAAAGCAAAAACAGGGGAAGGGAAAGGTGGAGTCGGGGGTAAAAATGCTATAGGTCACATGAACTATTCTGATCTGATTCTCACCATGCTGAGACTATTCTCCGCACACATGAAGGTACTGGCAGAGGAATAAAGGCATGCGGGTCCCAGGACTGAGATCTCCAAGCCTACTCGGATTGGGGCTGAGCATCCTCCACCCAGATCCTCCAAATTCCAGTAGGCGGGGGTCACACCCACCAACTGGCCCCCTGGCCGTGTAATCCCATCAATGGCCAAGACCCAGAGACTATAAAACCCAGCTCCTGGAAGAGAACAGCACAGAGTCTCCTGCCCTTGCACCTGGCTGTCCTTGCAGAGGAGCAGGTTGAGTTTCCCTCCCTACCCCGACCAGGGCTCCGGCAGCCGAGTACCTCCAGAGCCAGCCACCACCATGCTGAGACCACAATCCGCACACATGAAGGTACTGGAAGAGGAACAAAGTCATGCGGGTCCCGGAACTGAGATCTCCAAGCCTACTCAGATTGGGGCTGAGCATCCTCCACCCAGATCCTCCATATTCCAGTAGGCGGGGGTCACACCCACCAACTGGCCCCCTGGCGCCATGTAATCCCATCAACGGCCAAGACTCAGAGACTATAAAACCCAGCTCCTGGAAGAGAACAGCGCAGAATCTCCTGCCCCCACGCTTGGCTATCCTCACCAGGGCCCCTTGGAGGGGAGTGGGTTGAGTTTCTCTCCCCGCCCCGACCAGGGCTCTGGCAGCTGAAGACCTCCAGAGCCAGCCACCACCATGCTGAGACCACTCTCCACACACATGAAAGTACTGGCAGAGGAACAAAGGCATGCGGGTCCCGGAACTGAGATCTCCAAAGCCTACTCGGATTGGGGCTGAACATCCTCCACCCAGATCCTCCATATTCCAGTAGGCGGGGAACACACCCACCAACTGGCCCCCTGGCGCTGTGTAATCCCATCAATGGCCAAGACTCAGAGACTATAAAACCTAGCTCCCGGAAGTGCGTGGCTGCATTTGTGGCTGCACGACATCTTATTATCTCGTTCCTACTTTGGACAAACTGGCAGGCTACCAAATGTAAGATGCCCACACGGAAGAGTCTGGCAAACTCCCCGTGGCGTAACCAATATGCCAAATACCAGTAACAATGATGGGTCTCATTCTCCTAACTCTAAAAGAGCCCTGAATATGGTACTTTTTAAAAAATTTCAGGGCTAGGACGAAGGAGACGTTACTGAGACCTGCTCGAGGCAATCGACGAATAACAGGATAGTCGTGATCGTATTCGTGATCTGCCTAGTCTTACCTCATCAGTCCCAGAACTTCTCCCACAAAAGAGCAGCAAACTGTAGTAGTTATTGAATTCTTTATAGCTTCCCCAGACACCTTTGCACTGTGACTTTGCAGCTCCCTCATCATCAACAGGGGACTGACCAATAAAAGGGTCCAGAAGCAGCTTTAAGTTAGTCACAAGCATTCACTTCAACTGCTAGCAATCTGTCCTTGCATGCTTCTGCTTTCTCTCTTAGAAAGAGATCCACTGAACTGCCATATAAACAAATCCAACATAGGCTGAAGAATGATTTGCTCATTCCCCATTACTTTCGGAAATCCTGGAAGCAGAATAACCCTGATTCCCTGCATGGGCTAAAGAATCTAGGTGAGAAGTGTCCACTTGAGTCATTCTCGAACTGTTAACTCTTTAAGTACAGAGACTGCATTCAGTTGGTTATCTGGAATAATAGAGACAGTACAGCAGGTAAGGTAAGGTGTTCTCTTTGCATGTAGCAAATACTAATTTGATATCTGAGACCACATATGGCTCCCTGAGTCCCACAAGGAGTTATTACTGAGCACAGCCAAGAGTAAATCCTAAGCACTGCCAGATTTAACTCAAAACTAATTTTTTTAACTAAATAAATTTATTCAAAAAATAAATTGGGCATCTATGTGGAGCAATGCTATGCTTCCCATCCTACCTTCCTGGCATGTGGTACTATATACTTCTTTACTAATTAGAAGTTGCCTCTGGCCATGTGAAACCAGATTTACAAGTTGGTGAGTTATACAAAAGGAACCTCTTGCAGGGCCTTCAAGAGTAGGTCCAGTGATCGTCAGAATGGGCATCAGCAGTAGAAATGGAAGAAATGGCCTGCATTGAAAACTCAGAGTCAACCAAAGACTCTTGTATCTCTCATCTGTCTTACAGCCCAAACCCACTCGAGAAGCTGGAGCTGCTGAAGGTAGACGGAATGGAGGGAGGGGTTCCAAATTCTTCTGGAGTTGTTCTTATATCATAACCTGACACGGCCTCACTGGGTCATTAGTCCAGGGGGAGAACAGTAGCTTTTTGAAGTGGACCACTCTTCTTTGGTGAAGCTGAGTGAGGGGGGTGGTTTTTAGGATGTAATGACTCACTAAAGACTGAGTCACCCAGAGAGGGTAGCATGAAAGCAGCCAAGGAGAGAAGAGGCCTTTTCCCTTTTCAGTCCTTTTAGCTCTATAAACTGAACTGAGGCCAGAGGAAGAAGGACTTAAATAGGACTTAAATTTTACTTTAGAGAGAGTGCAATAAAGTGAAGTATTCAGGAAATATGACTCTTCTAAGGTTGTGTCACAGGTGGCGGGAGGGCTTTATCAAAGCACAGAAAAACAATGTATTATTGCACAGAAAAACAGATATCTTCTATCTTAATCCCATGGAGTTCAGATGGTTTCAGAAATAGACTACTTCTGTCTCAAAAATAGAAGGCTGATACCTTCCCAATTGTATCAAGGCATAGCTATGATGGTCACAGAGGATAACATAGGGGAAAGCCGAAACTTCCACTTGGTACAGATGAGAGGAAGGTGATGGTGCAGAATAAGGAGCAGGGAACTGGATCCAGAGCTGAACTGAATGTCCCACTGGCTGATTCATTTTCATCTGAAGACACTGTTGCTTCACTCCTGGAAAGTGGAGGCCCAGAGAGGTTAAGCACCTTACTCAAGTTCATACCGCTTAAGTGCATCTATACCAGAATCCAAAATGAAATCTGCCGTCTATAAACTTCTACACTCTTTCTGCTGTTTTGAGAATTTCCTTTATCTTATATATTTCAAAACATTGAAAGTAATAAAGGAACACATATGTTTATCCAGGGGGCATATTAGATTGTCCTTGTGTGGCGTTCTGCTCCCAGGACTGTGATAGTGTGGGGTGAAGCCTACATATACTTACTACTGTGATTCCTGCCTGTGCTCATGTGCTTTGTTCCTCCTTTTAGATTCTTCCATAATCTGCAATGTTCTGTGTTCCCCGGAAGTTTAGTATGATACCAAGAAACCACAGCATTTTCTTTGCTCTGTGG